ATTGGGTTATTTGTCTTTTTGTTGTTGAGGTTTTGCAGTATCTTGCAGATTTTAGAGATTAGACACTGATCAGATTTGTCATAGCCAAAAATTTTTTCCCTGTCTGTAGGTTGTCTTTTGACTCTTTTGGTGAAGTCTTTTGATGAACATAAGTGTTCGATTTTTAGGAGCTCCCAGTTATCTAGTCTTTCTTCTGGTGCTTGTGCATTGTTACTTATGGTTTGTATCATGTATTAGGGCTCCTAGCGTTGTCCCTATTTTTTCTTCCATGATCTTTATCGTTTTTGATTTTATATTTAAGTCTTTGATCCATTTTGAGTTAGTTTTTGTGCGTGGTGTGAGGTATGGGTCTTGTTTCAGTTTTTTGCAGATGGCTATCCAGTTATGCCAGCACCATTTGTTAAAGAGACTGTCTTTTCCCGAATTAACGGACTTTGGGCCTTTGTCAAATATCAGCTGCTGATAGATGGATGAATTTATGTCTGGATTCTCAACTCTGTTCCGTTGGTCTGTGTGTTGTACCAATACCAGGCTGTTTTGACTACGGTGGCAGTATAATAGTTTCTAAAATCAGGTAATGTGAGGCCTCCCACTTTGTTCTTCTTCTTGAGTAATGCTTTATTTGTTCAGGGCCTCTTCCCTTTCCATATGAAGTTGGTGGTTTGTTTCTGCATCTCATTAAAAAATGCCGGTGGAATTTGGATCGTGATTGCATTGTATCTGTAGATTGCTTTGGGTAGAGTTGACATTTTCACTACGTTGACTCTACCTATCCATGAGCAAGGTATGTTTTTCCACTTATATAGGTCTCTTTTAGTTCAGCCTGAGCTTCTGAGAGCTTATTTTTTAATCACATTCTGTGACTTATGCTTTAATCGCATTCATGGAAACTTGGCCATTCTGGCTGAAGGATGAGGAGGCTAGCCTAGTCTTGCTCTCTCACAAATTATTATTTTGAGCAAAGTGGGTCGCTTCTCTGGGAGCCCAGTATACTCAAAGGCAACAAAGGGATGTTGGACTAGGTGTTCCTTTCAAGTTTCTCTTAGTTCTAGTGTTCTAGGACTAGAACTCAGAATCCTTTTTCTGCTAGATTATTAGTTCATTGAAAGTAGGTTGTGTGCTCTAAAGACTTCATACCTCATAATATCCAGAATAATACAGTTAATTATTAAATGTTAAAAATCAATCGAAAGTTTGGAAACAGATAGTGGTGATGGTTGCACATTATGGTGAACATAATGTCACTGATAGTACATGTAAAAATAGTTGAATGGTTGAAATGGCAAATGTTATATATATTTCACCACAATAAAATTTTTTAAAACATTAAGGGAAAGAATGACCAGTACAGCTTTGAATCCCATGGTACACTTTTCACAGATGCCTCTGTTTGTGTCGTTTTGTTAATAAAATGCCTCTTTCCCACATTTAGTGATTTAGAATCTAGAAGAGAAGTAAAAAAAGAAGAAGGTGAAGCTTTTGCACGAGAGCATGGCCTTATCTTCATGGAAACTTCTGCTAAGACTGCTTCCAATGTGGAAGAGGTAAGTAAGAGGCCCTTTTAAATGTTTATTATCTTTTTACTTAGTAAAAATGTTTTATATATCTTCACATTTATTTGTCGGTATTTCTTCCATAAACTCATGTCTTTGAATATCATCAAGTAGGAGAAGATACCTTAATTTCTTCCCTTTGAAATGCCTTGTAACATTTATCTTATATCAGACTCTGAAATTATATCCTAAGCCTCCCCTTCTCTAAATGCTTTGACACATCTTTGTATGTATTGTCCCTAAGGTTGTTTTTTTGTTGCATCCAAACCAAACCCATTGCCATCAAGTCAATTCCTACTTATAACGACCTGATAGGACGGAGTAGAACTGCCCCATAGGGTTTCTAAGGAGCAGCTCATGGATTCAAAGTGCTGACCTTTTGATTAGCAACTGTACCTCTTAACCACTGTGTCACCAGGGCTCCTTTTGTTGCATAGGAGGGGAAAATAAAAACATTAATGAAATTTGGAAATATTTCAAGACACTGAACATTTGTAGCTATTTTTATCTACTTCTGTTTAAAAGGAAAAGTATTATTGCTATATAACATTATACTAAGTATAGAAATTCTACCATCTCTAATTAATGAATTTGCATTCTCTATTTTTTCCATCGATCAACTTGAACTACTGGAAGTTTTCTGTATATACTGTATTCTTTTTTGCTATATGTGTTTTGATATTTTGTTTATAATTATGCATAGATGATTAGACAGTTAATCCTCTTCAGCTCTCTAAGAAAAATGTATTACTGTATTTTATAAAAAGAAAATGAGTAGTTTGCCCGAAGTGATGTTGTAGCTCCCACCTTCTGGGTTAGAATGTAAGAGCAGCTACAGAAAGCGGTTCTAGAAAACAGTTGAAGACTCCCATTGTTGTAAAGATGGCAGAGGATGGGGTCCTAGACAGCAGTTAACACTGTGCCTTAGACAGAATAAGCAGTCAGTAATTCTGTATTAAGAATGATACTTGGAGCGTTTCTAAATACCAGGAGTTGACTTCAGTAATTCAACAGCCTTGGTATTTTCACTGAGTAAGTCTTAGGTCAGTTGTTATACTTATCAATACTTGATGAATTCCCTGGATAGTGCAAATGGTTAGTACACTTGGCGGTTAACCAGAACGTTGGAGGTTTGAGTCCAACCAGAGACATCTTGGAAGAAAGACCTGGTGATCTACTTCTAAAATATCAGCCATTCAAAACCCTATGGAACACACAGTTCTACTCTGACACACATGGGATCACCATGAGTCAGAATCTACTCCATGGCACCTGGTGGTGGTTATACTTGATGAAGTGCTCTGTAATTTTTGTCAGTTCATCTTGTACAGGCACCAGCTAATGCTTTACCTGTTGTAACCAATAATTAAAACTTGATAATGTACAAGGATAACAGTTTACTTTACACTGCAAGCCCATAAAAAGAAATCTGCTTTGTCCCTTTGTTGAACTGTGTATTGTATTTGAAACATTAAGTGCTAACAGTTTGTCCAGAGGGCTTCAAGACATCTGAAACATAACCTTATTGATTATTAACTGTAGTTTCTTGTTGCTTTTGAGACTCATGAAACCAGAATTGTACACATTTTAACAAAGAACCATACTATGAACTCAAATGACAGGGATCAATTACTTTAAAGCAGTCCTAGATTTCTAGTTCTGGCATCACCAGGGCTCCTTCTAAATGCCTTTATGTTTATTTTCTTAACAAGTACCAGTAGGTGTTTACTTGTAAGTAGCAAATTACTGTTGTCTTTTGGCTGAACATTTGAATGAAATATCAAACTATTCCATTAATGTTTTGGCAGCACTTATTACAAAAGTTCTGTATCTGTGGTTAATAAAATATTTATAAAATTGGATCTGGCAGGAATTTCCCATACTCACGAGAGAACAACATTTTACTTAGCAGTGTAAATTAATTTCTTCTCAGAAACCAAGAATTATAAGAAATAATTTGTCATGATTTCATTTTTAAAGCATTCACAGACCAGCATTATGTAATGTAATATTTCATTAGATAGTACCTAAAAGATAAAAATATTTAATGATAAGGTATTTTAAGGCTACGGAAATTTGTTGTATGATCCAAAAAAGGGTGAGATGAAGCCTAACTCTTTTTTTTCTTCTCTTGTACGTTAGATGGTTTATAGAACAAACTAACTTCTCATTAAACAGTACACATATTGTTCTAGGACATTGATTACCAACCCCACGACATGTCAACACTCTCCCTTCTTGACCTTAGGTTCCCTATTACCAGCTTTCCTGCCCCCTCCTGCCTTCTAGTCCTTGCCCCTGGCTGATGTGCCCCTTTAGTCTTGTTTTGTTTTATGGGCTTGTCTGATCTTTTGCTAAAGGGTGAACCTCAGGAGTGACTGCATTACTGAGCTAAAAGAGTATCTGGGGGCCATACTCTCAGGGTTTCTTCAGTCTCTGTCAGGCCAGTAAGTCTGGTCTTTTTTTTTGTGAGTTAGAATTTTGTTCTACATTTTTCTCCGACTCTGTTCAGGATCCTGTATTGTGATCCTTGTCAGAGCAGTCAGTTGTAGTAGCCAGGCACCATCTAGTTGTACTGGACTCAGTCTGGTGGAGGCCGTGGTAGTTGTGGTCGATTAGTCCTTTGGACTAATCTTTCCCTTGTGTCTTTAGTTTTCTTCATTCTCCCTTGCTCCCGAAGGGGTGAGTGCAGTGGAGTATCCTAGATGGCTGCTCACAAAGCATGACTGTCTTAATATGACTTAGGAACTGATTGAATGTAAAAATAATAATAACTATGGGATTCTGCTTCTCAGAAGATGGAGTAGACGCAACTTTCTCTTTTCATCCTGCTAAATACAACTAAGCCCAGGACATTACATATAAAACAAACATAAGAAGACTCTAACAGGTGGAGAGGAGACAGAAGACTGGCTAGTGACCTTGGGACTTGAGGAATGGCATGGCAGTGAAAGCCCTGGGTTTCCTTTTTGCTTTACATATCCCAGACTGGGTGCTGGAGATCAATGAGCCCAAAAAAGCTCCAAGAAAAAGCCTGCTGTCTCTAGCCAGAGGAACAGGAAAGGGGCTAGAGGACAAGACGGAAAGCTTTTAGAAAATGTCTGCTCTATGGTAACCAAACACCACAGAAAAAACTGATGACACCCACACCAGCAAAGGCCAAGTATGTGACCCAGACTTCCACCATCGCCTATCTGTAACAGGGTTCTCCCACCCCACCCAGCAGTAATGAGGAACCCCCCCAGCTCAGGTGTCACCAGAGGCCAACTGGGAACCTGGTCTTCTACATCCACCTTACAGTGATGAAATGATGCCCTCCCGCTCCATTGTTGGAGTGATGTCAGAGGAAGCCAACTAAAATAGGTTTAAATAATACATGAAGTCTTATAGTACTCAAAATGCCTAGGTTTCAGTAGAAAATGAGTCATTGTACCTAGAACCAGGAAGATCTCAAACTGAATGAAAAAAAGATAATAGATACCAACAGTGAAATGCAGAGATGTTAAGAATTATCTGACAGATTTTAAAGCAACTGTCATAAAAATGTTTTAATGAACAATTATGGACACACTTGAAACAAATGAGAAAAAAATAGACTCAGCAAATAAATAGAAGATAAGAACCAAATGAGAATTTTAGAACTAAAAAATGTAATAACTTAAAATAAAAAAACAATGAATGGGCTTAACAGCAGAATGGAGGCAACAGAGGAAGGAGTAAACTGGATGATAGAACAATAAAATTGCCCAGTCAGAAATACAGAGAGAACATAGACTAGGGGTGGGGTGAGGAATGAACATCAGAGTTCCAGAAGGAGAGGAGAAATTACTCAAAGAAATAATGACTGAAAATGCCCCAAATTTGGCAAAAGATATAAATCTATAGATGAAAGAACCTGAGCAAACCCAAAAAGATAAAGAAATCCACATCAAGACACGCCATAAACAAACCTCTGAAAGCTAAAGACAAGGGAAAAGATCTTGAAAGCAACGAGAAACAACAGACCTTACCTGTGAGGGGAAAACAATTTGAATGACAGCAGATTTTTTTTTATCAGAAACCATGGAAGCCAGAAGGAAATTTTTCAGCATTTTTCAAGAGCTGGAAGAAAAGAGCTGTCAACCCAGAATCCTATGTCCAGCAAAAATATAGTTTAGAAATGAAAGAGAAATCAAGACATTGTCAGATGAAGGAAAACTAAGAATTTTTCCAGTAGCCAGTCTACTGTAAAAGAATGACTAAAGAAAGTAATCTAACAGAAAAGAAACAATAAAGGGAACCCTGGAACATCAGGAAGAAAGAACACAGAATCAAAAATATGATTAAATATAATGGATATTTTTCTACTTCTGAGTCTCCTAAATTGTTTGTTGAAGCAAAAATTTTATAAAGTTGCCACAAACACTGAATTAGTGAATACTGAACCATTGTTCCTAGGGTAACTACAGAGTTAGGTTCCTATAAGCCTCTAGCCACATTTTTGTCAGTCAAGCAATGCATAATTTTATTTTTTGTGTGTTTCTGTTTAAAGACACCTTATACTAGCTGAAAGGGTGGCAGTTTGAACCCACCCATAGGCGCCTTGGAAGAGAGGCCTGGTGATCCACTTTAGAAAGGTCACAGCCTTGAAAACCCTATGGAGCAGTTCTGCTCTGCATGTATGGGTTTCCTATGATTTAGAATCAACTTGATAGCAACTAACAACATTTAATGTATGTTGTTGACTCATTAACATTAAACTCACAGCCATCAGCACTGTAACTCATGCCTAAATGAAGATTATCTAACATATATTTCCTCTGTAAGGTACATCTCAACCTTCTTGTGCTTGGAAACACTAGACAGCACTTTAGAACTACACTTGGGGGCCATTTTAAGCAGCAGACTCAACCAACAAAAAACACAAAAATACAAAACATGTGGCACTAAATAAACCACCAAAAGGACACTTGTTTATAGTATGACAGCTGAAACAAAAGGCAGAGAGCATC